TCAAAAGTCTCATACTAACAGCAACAGACTGGTTTATAGAGAAATATCAAGGTTTTAGTATGTGATTCCATTAGCTGATATAATGCCATTGTTTCGAACATTGTTTCTTTGTTGCTACATTCAAGAAATATTTATCCCTTTCTAATGACTATCTGCATATATAGTGAATACTTCTGGTGTTTCTGGAGATTATTTGGAGTCTTTCACGTGAAACCACTTAATCTTCACAATGATCTGTGGGAGCTTTGGTAGGTGCAAAACCTTACAGCTGCCTGGATCTGTTGGTGGAAAAGGCATACCAAGTTTTAAAAACTACTGCAGGTCAGCTTAAATAAGACCACTTATACACTCTCTCTGGTCTATGACTGCAGCAAAATGCTAGTCTGTAGAGTTGTCACTGCTGAATAAACCTTTAAAGAGTAATATAAAGTATTTTAGCTGCCATCAAACATTGTGATTTTCAGAACCAGTGGGTAAAACGTTAAGGTGATTTGGTTAGACAAGGTTAAATTATTTAATCTCCAAATGGAAAAGTGTGTGTTAATGTGGGCTATGCATAACTCTAATTGTGAATTTGTCCCATATTAGAGAATGCAGGATTTTGAATTTAAAACTATCAAAAGATACAGTACGGACTTAGTCTTGCAAATATCTTCAGCTTCTCCACTTTCAAATAAATAAAATATGTAAAATGAGCTTTTAGAAAATATACCTCCATTAAAGAAATGTTCTTTAAATGTGTTTTATAAAAATAATTTGAGAAATATACTGGAATTGACTTAAATTAAAAGGTAGTTCTAGACTTCCTCTTAAGAAGTTTTGCAAAGCACCTTTGAGTATGAAACATTTCATTTCTGCTGTCAATGTTCATAGTTTAATGTAAAAAATGTAAATGCCATTCTCTGCACCTATTCCCTTGGGGAGTAGTGTGCTGCCACTGTACGGTGCCCAGGGAGTAGTGTGGGGTTAAGGTCCTGCTCAGGGATCCAGCGTAGAGGCTGTGGGGATCAAACCCGGTACGTACAACTTTCTCAGAACACAAGCGCACTGCTCAAACGAGTAGGCTAACACTCCCACAGAAAACAAAAAAAAAACAAAAACGAAATTCACTCTGCATTCAACCCATCCCCTTGGGGAGCAGTTTTTATCTAAAATTTTACTAGGACACTGGGGAAGGGAAAGCCAAAGGGATTTACATAAAAACTAAACAAGTAAGAAGGGCTTCCCTAAACTAATTATTACAACATCATCAGTTCAAATGACTATACTGAGAGTCAAATTACCAGGATATCACATTTTTGTCATAGTCTGAAAGAAGAGTTTACCTTTTCCTTTAAGATGAACATATACTGCATATAGATAGAGATGATAGCGCTACTCTAGATCCTGGTGTAATACTAACAGGAGTTTGCATGTTTTCACCATGCATGTGTGGGTTCTCTCCATGTACTCTGGCCTCGTCAGTTCTAAAACATGACCGTTGGGTTAATCTGTGTCTCTAAGACATCCTCATGGTATGTATGGAAATATGCATGTTTTTTTTGTTGTGTGTCACTCTGTGATGGAAAGTCAACCTGTCCAGGGTGTTCTCAGCCTCTTGTTGTAAAAGTGCTGGAGATAGGAACATAGGAACAATAAAGACTCAAGAACCCATGACCTGGAAAGATTTAGCCCATTCTATGACAATATGGACTAAAAGAGTACAGATCTAATAAGCATTCCCTGCTCCCAAACTGGCAACTGAAAATTGGAGCTGCACACATGAATGATCCACTTACTGTAATTTCTGAAAAGGTTTACTGCCAGAAAAGAAGATTAGGCTGTTTATCTACAATCATAATTAGGACTTTTGAAGGACTAATGGTCAAACTTTAAAATGTCAAATAAATGTATCAACTTTTAAGCATGGTTTTATTAACATTATGCTATGGCAGTCTTTCAGTTTTACCAGAACCTCAGTTTCTTTGATGCATAACTTACCACCTTCATAGTTGAAAGTTGGATACAGCTAATAATTCCAAAAAACATATCAGAACTGTAATCAGAATATATAAAGTATGTTAGCATAAAGGTTCTGGAAAGCCCCAACCTCAAGCCTGTTGATACCGAGTGAACCCCAGCCTGGCCAAGCTGACAAGTTTATATGAATTTCAGAAATTCTTCAAAAAGACATACCAAATATCTAATCGGCAGTCTTCAACATATTCATCTGCCAGAGTTATCTTGGTGACAACAAAACACATGCAGTGGATGTCAAGTTTGTAAATTTAATTCTAATTTAAAGGATTTGTGAAGGAATTTTTGAGAATCTTTGAAGAATCCGTCCTCTCCACACAAAAATGCACATGCACAACTCTGTACCCGCTCCCGAGAGGGAACGCCTATTAAATGCGTGGAGAGCATGCACAAGCCAATTTCTCCTCATGCATGTTGTTTAAAAGTTGCAGTTCTCATAGCTCATATAAGCTTACTGTGTATGAATTTCAGCTCTAACCCCTAAATCCCTCAATCAATATATAGAGCAGGGACTAGTGGACTTTATAGCGAACTCAGTTAACTGACCGTGTGAAAAGATGATCCGTTGGTCACATAACTCCTCCTTCACTAATCTATGGTATTAGTTGCCACTGTTGGGTGTCGACAGCAGGCCACTGTGACAGCAAATCCCATAATGCTTTGCGAGGAGAGCTCTCCGTGCAAAGCATTCCAGAATATATCCGCCTCTTCTGAGGCCTTTCCTTTCTTCTCATACACTTCATTGATACTTTTTCTCTTAGGACCCTCAGTCATTTTCAAAGAACCACAGGAAAAAGGTGAGCTTCAGTGACTGTCTGAAACAGTAGCTCACCACACGTATATGCCTGAAAGTGCGCATGCGCAGAAAACATAGCTAACGGGACAAGCCTGTAGAATGGCCTTATGTAAACATATAGCCAGGACGATTTAAATTGGGTAAATAGTTTGTGTAAATATTTGATAAGAGCTTTAGTTTCAAATTATGTATTTTTTTTTTTTTTTTCTAAGTTTGCATGATTCTTTGGCAGTTGTAACTGTTTGAAACTGTCGAATTCCAATTGAACTGTTCATATCTGGAAAGCCTCATGTAGAAAGTGTTTACTAAAGGGAGGGATATTTAGTACAATTATTCGAGTTAATGGGTTATCTTCCTCCCTTGTCAAGTGTTTAGCTAATCAAAGCGGCTGCAGCAGCTTGATTTTATTCACAGCTAGCAGAGTTAACTAATCAATCAAACTATCACCGAATCCAGTCAGGGGAAAGCGCACACACCTCCTTATCCACAAAGGCAAAATTTGCCTTCCTTTGCTTGTTTTAAAAAAATAAATAGATAGCATTATAGTTAAAACTGGCGCAGTGATGTTTGTTTTTCCTCAGCCTTCTGCCTCTGGTTGACGTCATACAGGTAAGTACATTTCATTGGTCCGAAACATTTTTGTATGGAGACTAGTGCCTCTGCTGGCTTCTACCAAGATGTATTTTTGGAAGTTTGTGACTTCACAAATCTCCTGATGATTTATCTTGCTTGAAAGGTAAAAGCCATTTCATGTGTGTTTTACAAATCCTAGTTCCTTTAGGGCACACATAAAGAATAGTACTAAAACAGGTGATACTGATAGTTTAACAAATTTAGATCAAAATATCTATCTTATAAGTATAGCCTTTATCTATTATTGTCAATAAAGACATATACTTTAATGTGGTTTATATTTTCGTTCCAAAGGCTCTATGCAGAATTTTTTTTAATGAGATTTCAAAGATTAGGCTTACTTTATGAAGGCTTTAGAAAGAAAGGATGGGTTTTAGGTTACTGCTTCCAAGTACTGCACTATATGGTGTAAAAATCATCATTAAAATACAGATAATTCTCCTTCAACATCATGTCTAGACCCATCAAATTTTATGTCAATACCTTATCAAACCTTTGCTTGGATTCTAAGAGAATCTACAGCAGGAGGTCAAGATTAGTGTAATGGCATGGAGGGTCTCCAGCCTCAAAGCTTTGGAGCTCATGATTAGAAATGAATCATCAAAATCACATTGGAAACCTGCAAAACGCCAATCAGCAATTATAAAATCTCAATGCCGTGATGCCGGTTAAAAGTTTCCTTTTTTGTTCTAACTGACCTGCCATTTAAAAAGAAATAAAACATTAAAAAAAATTATATAATGTTTATTTTATTTTAAGAAATAGGCCTACAAGGTTTTTAAAAAAAACTTGTTTAAACTCTTTTTCAATCAGGCTTTTCCACTTTGGGAGTCATTTGGGTCTAGCCTTTTTTTCCTCTAAAAATTTACTTTTGTTTATGTTTGTTGTTGTTGTAAGCCTAAAATGCACCATTTCGGTGTAGTCTCTTAGGTTTTGAATATACCAAAGTCACCCTTTCACTGTCCTCTTAGTGTTGTTTTAATTCCAACTAGCTAAAAATTGAACCGCTACAGTATAATCTTTACAGCTTTGTCAGGTGTGTCATAACCTGGATGTGGGGGAAGGATGCAGGCAGCAGACAAAAATAAGAAACTACCTCAGTTACACATGACTCTTTGAACCGCTTGCCGTTGCCTAGGAGAAGCTTATCTATTGTCACGGCGATGAGCAGCAGGAGTGTAATTCGACATTACATGAGGTCGGACACTGGCGGCTTACGGGTGTGACACATCCGTGACATGCTTCAAATTAACATGCGGCGGTGTCAATTAAAAGCATGAAATGCACTTAGGGAAGGGGGGGGGTGGGCGGGTGGTTAGCTGGGAGGCCTTCCTCAGCTCTGGAAACAGCCTGAGACAAAGTGAGTAAGGACGCACAGTTGATTTCTATTGTGTTGTTTATAAGGAGCGATCACGGGAGTGACCGTGTCCTATTTGAAGCATCTCACAAGCTAAAATAAAAAAAAAATCTAATCAGGTGAGTTGGGGTTGTAACAGACAAAAAAAGGTTGAAATAAGTTAAGCAAAATAAAGTACATCCTGTTAAAATTCCTTACCAAAGCTTTACAGCCACAGTTAGAGCAGGGGCTTGTTTCTTTGCTTTTTTTTCGGTCGCCATCCCGTCGTTGTTAACTCTCTGTGTACTGGCTCACAACTGCGACTCACATTGGCGTGGAATTGTGTCACTGCTTGACCTGCTGAATAAAACCAAATGAAAAAAAAACAAAACAAAACTGAAATGAAAGCAGCTGAAGGGACAGGTAGTGATGGACGTATCAGCTGGGGATGTGTGCCTCAAACCGTCTCAACTTCTGCTGCTCATTGGCGGCGGTGTAATAACAATATCACTCATCTCATATCCTCAGCTTACTTTGCTCCCCCTTCCCCGCTCTGTCCCCTCAAAGCCGCCTCCTCGCTCCACATTTATCATATTCATTTGATATTCAGGAATAAATGTAGCAGAAAGAGAATAATGCACCTCCTGTACGCGCCGTTCATTACAGATGCATTTACATGGGGGTTTGCCTTCATGGTTTCTAATGGAGGACTGTTCACTGGTGTTCCTCACATTTGTTGGGAGAGGGGTGAGGGTGCCAGTGTAGTTCTCCTCACATTAGCACTATCTGTGAGCAATGATAAATGGGTCGATCTTTCCATCTTTGCTGTCACATTCATAAAAAAAGAAGAGAAAAAAATGCAACATGTATCCATCACGTCTTACTTGAGACATATTTAAATTCTATGGTGAATATACCTGAGTGAATAATATTTCATCCATGATAATGCAGCAAATACAAGCTGAAAAAAAAAACAGATTTTTTTTTTCTACCCCCCCCAAACACCCCAGCTCCAGATGACGACGGAGGAAGAGGAGGAGGGCAACTGATCATATTCAATCTGGAGGCGATCATGTAAATAGCCCTCCATCTTGGGGAGGCGATATGCAAAGCAGCCCGTCTCCCCTGTGTCAGGATCAGATTAATGGAAACCTAAAAGTGGGAATTACGGGCCTTATCCGGCGTGGCGTTCCGGGGAGGGGCCGGGATACAGACCCTGGGGGAATCTGCCTGGTTCAAAGCCCATTCCTCTGGTTAAGGAACTCGCTAAGATCCATGCACTGAGGTGAAGGGTAATTTCCTTTGATATTCAGCAATGTATTACTGAATGCAGTGTGTAAGCTGCAAGCTCCGCTGACACTGAGTGTATGCGTGTATCATGCAAATGTATGCACACACATAAAAGCATGCATAAAGAAGCCGTGGACACAGACATCATTAGGAACAGCGGACATAGAATTAAATGGTCACAATTTTACATTAATGCACACAGATACACAGATAGTTATGACGACTATTTAGTAATCATGCTGTGGAGTTTTTTTTCTTACTGTTAATAGTTGGGAGACAGAGCCACAGTTCTGAACATTTCAATTTAGCTTCACAATGACATTAGTAAACTGACCTTGGTCTAGTAGGACAGAGAAACATAAGAGTAGCAGCAAATGTAAATCAGGAACTAAGTAACCTAAAAATAATCAACAAATGTACGCTCACTTTTAAAAGTTTTTTTTACATTTTTCAAAATTTCCAAACAGGTTATTAGATATTTAAATCTAAGGCTAAATCATGTTCTAGAGTCAATTTACAGAATAAAAGTTAATACCACTGTGTTTCTTATTAAAACAGTTCTGATATTCTTTTTATTATTATCAAGAGTTAAAAAATAAGGATTAAAAACTTTGCTTTGCCAGATAATGCAACATGTTATGTAATTACACATGAAATCTTTTTTTTTTGGGGGGGGGGGTCGCTTTTAGAAATACAGTATATTGTAACAAAATAAAAGAATAAAAACAGTAACACTGTATTATTCAAATACAATAGAATTCAAACAATTAAGAAGTACTTTCCATGGTATTTAAATAAACACTTTATTTTTCTTTTACAAGCAAGAGATATCATACAAGTCTTTTGCTTCAAGATATTTGTGTCCTTCATGCATTTATTTTTTATTTTTTTTGTTGATAAAAAAAAGCAAAAATTTCAAAGCCATTTATTATACTTATTCTAAAGGTTGAAACTTTCATGCAGGTTATTTGACTTAATGCAATAATACATTTAAAAGACGTAATTTAATTCTTGAAACTCTTGAAATTCTTCCCAAGTTATTTTTCCAAAGGTCGCAGTAGAGTTTATGCCTGCTTTCTTCAACACTAATCACCACATGAACGTGTATTTTTTTATGCATAGGAAAATATGCTGTGTGTGTGTGTATTTAATCAGGAACATAATTATTTAGATCTAATTAGCCACATGCTAATTCCATTACATTACATGTAATGTTGTGGCTAATGTAAAATAAGAGAGGTTATCTCTGCAACCCTGATCAATAAAAAAAATACTTCTGGTTGGGACATACTTAGAAATCTATCAACCAATAGTTTGGGAACAGTAATGGAATAACCAATATCAAATGGCTGCTTGTCATCTGGCTTGATCCACAGGGTTTTTGGCTTTGTGTGCTCCACATGGATATGACTATGAGCCCAAATCTATTACCTGCCTGGCATGTCTGTCTTATCGCGGCCGTCCACAGTGTGAAGCTCTGCAAAATGCACTGCAGGTTTCCCAGTGAAGATGGTTGATATGTAATCAAAACAGCTCAAACACACACACACATAAAAAAAAGAGAGAGAGAGAAACGAAGCTCTCAAACGCACTTCATAATCCGGTAAACTCCAACGGGGGATGGAAAATTACAACGGAAAAGCCCGCCGTTGGATTTCATTAGGATGTGCTTGAGGTGCTACAGGACGATATTAAAACAACACACCCACACTTTCCCCCCCCCCTTCATGCCGGCTGTCTCTCTCCAGGTTCCTCCACCCTCTTCCCTTTCCGTCAGACTCCTTGCTATTCGCTCAGATCCAATCAAGACTTTGGCACTCCTCCAGCTTTCCTGCTCCTCCTATCTTTTCTGCCTCCCTCCTTAGGGTTGCTTAAATTTGAATTTTAATATGTGCCCTTCCCTGATGGTGACATCACCATCGCTCACACACACTCTCAACAGCCATCAAATAAACAATCTGACCAGACAATGAATCCTCTTCATTGGCCGCACAGCTGCTCACAATCTACACTGTCAACAATTTATCAAGTAGGGCCCGAGTGCTCCCCACTCTCTGTGTTACTCTGCATATTCTTTTTTGCATTTAACAGTCTTCACAACCTCCCTCAATTTCTTTCCACAATAAAAGCTTGACCTCTGCATCTGAACATCTGAGTTTCTATCTACATTGGGGTGGTTTGTCGTGTGTGTTTGCTGCAGTCAAAGCATGTGGCTCCCCTTTGGTCCCCAACATTAGTGCAGACAAGGGAATCAGTGGACTATTGAATGCAATTACAGTGCGCAGGCCAGACAATAAAGATTGATAGTGGCTTCGCCTTTTATCAAACACCAAAAGTAGCAGAGGTTAAAGCCTTCAAGCCTCAAGCTGTCAACACTTTAATAATGATTGAAAATATGCCACCAGACTGAGAAGGAATGTCTGTAGAGAAACATGCAGCTCTAAGGAAAACCTGAGTTTTCTTTATCTTTCTTGTTTCAAAGAGATATTTTATCAATTGTCTAAATTATAAGAAAATAAACATTAGTGCATTTAATAATTTCCCGTTTTACAATTGCAAAACACTTTTGAGTATGAAACATTTCATTTCTATTTCTTCAATGTTCACAGCTTAATGTAAAAAACATATAACCCTTTATTGTCCCACAGTGGGGAAATTCCCTCCCTTTTTCTGCACCCATCCTCTTGGCTGCCATTGTGTGGATCCTGGGATTAGTGTGGGGTTGAGGGTTTTACTCAGGAACCCATAGTGGAGGCTTTGGATTCTTGAGGTACCCAAAGCCGGGTACTTGCAACCTTCTCATAGCACAAGCGTACTGCTCTAACCCTTTAGGCCAACACACCCCATGCAGCATAAAACTACAGGACATGATTTTTACTGTGACCTCTGAAAGTAAGTATACCTGTAACCTTTACAAATCTTTTCAACATTAAAAACTTCAGTTTGATTAATTGATTATTTATGGATATTTTCTCAGTGGAGTTTCTCTTTCCAATAGGACAATAATCTTTAACATCGGCCAAAGCTACTGAGGATGTTGTTAAAGAAATATATAAAAATGTATTGATTGGTTAAAAGCAGTGATATGACCAGAAATTAGATACAAAGAAAATGATGTTAGATATGGTCCCAGGTTTTACATGACAGAATGTTAATTTAAAAAAGAAAAAAAGCCCCATTTAAGCCAAATGATGATCTTTAAACTAAGCTGTACTCAAAGCAGCATTTTAGAACCTAATAAATAAAAAAAAAACTGTTGAACAATATCAGAGCTAATACTAATTTAGAAAATCCTCACCAAGGTCTATTTCTGTTAAAAGCATTCTGCTTTATGTCCATTCTGTTAATGCAAAGTAATACTCACATTCCTTGAATATTGTTTTTTAGAATTGCTTATTGGATTAAAAACCAAACATACTCATGTTTTAGATAACACTAAGCAGGCTAGGCGTCAGAAAATTAACCAAGACAATACAATAACAATATGGAACTCAATCTTTGTCCTTTGCACATGTTTTAGAATAAAGAGGTTGTAAAATAATTATGGTTCTGAAACAGAAACTAAAATCACAGAATGTTAATTATTTAAGCTTTTTATTTCAGAAAAGATTACCTTGTTTTAACTGTAAAACCTTCATGTTAAGAGATAACCGAAAGGAAATTGAAGTGTGAGTTTGATTTATTCCTTTTTTATTTTGGTAAACTGATATCAAAAACAATACTTATTTATCCAGGTAAGAGACAGCATTGCTGCCAGACTCGTACAAAATAATTTCACAAATGTTAATGTGTTTGAATTTTTATTTTTTTTCCCAGGTGGTTCTTTATTTATTTTAGGAGAACGGGGCGAGGGTAAGTAATATTAGGTTATGCTATGCTAAACATACTGCCTCTTTACTTGCTGCTCTTTATCATTTCATATTTATATTTTTAAAAATAGACTTGTTTAAAAAATGTGACCTTTTTTACTAGACATACGAGTGAGAAAAATGATTAATCAGAACTGGTGTTGCAACGAATCAACAGCAACAAATAAAACCATTAAAATACTCTATTGAATTTATTCCACT